TTTTTTTTTAATTTTTTTTTTCAACGTTTATTTATTTTTGGGACAGAGAGAGACAGAGCATGAACAGGGGAGGGGCAGAGAGAGAGGGAGACACAGAATCGGAAACAGGCTCCAGGCTCTGAGCCATCAGCCCAGAGCCCGACGCGAGGCTCGAACTCACGGAGCGCGAGATCGTGACCTGGCTGAAGTCGGACGCTTAACCGACTGCGCCACCCAGGCGCCCCAATATTTGCATTTTCAATTTCACAACTACCATCAATGGGTGGGGTAGAGAGTTGAACCCATGATGGTATTTATCATGGCTTTTATCACCAATGGACTTAGTTTTAGAATTTGAGTTTTACCTTCCGTTAAATTACACCTGGTGCAACTTTTTTTTTTTTTTTTTGTATCTGGGAAAGTTATGAAAACTGATGTGCAGATGGTATGGGGGTATATAGGGTTAGGGAAGGTGTAATTTAGGGAGATGCTCATGACCAGCACCATCTTTGAAACTGCCATTTGTAGACGACAGCATGTCTTTCTGGGTCTGGTGGACTTTGGTGGGCTGTGTCCATCTATAATGTTAATACTGAGTGACTTCACCCACTGCCATGATTTCAGCTGCCACTTTATCCTGATCATATCAAATCCTTAACTCTAGCCTGAATCGCCCTCCAGGTTCTGGCTCCATCCCTAGACCACTCCCTTCCATTTCCCAGACACCATGTCACCTCAGTTCTGGCTGCCCTGGGCTATTGGCAGCATTTGTATCTGGGTGCCTTTGCTCTGATTTGGGCTTCTGTAGAGCAAGTCCTTTTTGCTCTTGCTGTAGCTGCTTCTATTCAAATGAAGCCAAGAGTGCAAGCAGGTGGGTGGGAGGAACAAGCCAGGAGAGGCGAGCAAAGGCAGGCCAACCAGTCCGGAGGTCACTTGTAGGGGACAGAGACGGCTGGTCTTGAGGAAAGTGGACAGAAGGGAAAATTAGGTCAGTCGCCTGGGTGGCTCATTTGGTTAAGCATCTGACTCTTGGTTTTGGCTCAGGTCATAGTCTCATGGTTCGTGGGATCAAGCCCTGTGTTGGGCTCCACGCTGCATGAGATTCTCTCTCAAATTAAGTAAACATTAGGGGTGCCTGGGTGGCTCAGTCGGTTAAGCATCCGACTTCAGCTCAGCTCAGGTCATGATCTCGTGGGTTGTGAGTTCGAGCCCCGCAACGGGCTCTGTGCTGACAGCTCAAAACCTGGAGCCTCCTTTGGATTCTGTCTTCTCTCTCTGCCCCTCCCATGCTTATGCTCTGTCTCTCAATAATAAATAAATGCTAAAAGTTAAAAAAAAAATGAGTAAATATTAAAAGGGGAAATCAGGTCAAACTGGACCCAAGACCTTACATTTCCAGGGGAAAAGTAAAAATCCCATTCCTTTAAGCACAAGGGGCCTAGTAGATTCTCAGACTTGAGCCAAGACCCTGCTGGCTCTGTCATTTATTAGAAGACTTGGAACAAGTCACTTCTATTTTTCTTCAGTATATTGGAGTGACCATCACCTACTTCACAGGGTTATAAGAATTAAAAGGCAGTGATGTTGGCAAAAACTGCTTATTCCGTATAATGAGCGCCTGGTTGTGGCAAGTGCTGGGAAATCTAAGCTTTCTGGAGGTTTTTGAGACTTAACTGGGACTTTTACAGATGGAAAGGGGCAGTACGGCTAGCTTGGAGGCCCAGGGGAAGGTGGATCGTGAAACATTTGTGTCCTGAGGCCAGGCAGGAGGCAGAGATGGGCCAAAGGGGTAAGGCACACATGATTTAGTCTCCAGAGGCCATTTTATTGTGAGGCACAAGAAGCCTCTGAATGCAGGGACCTAGGAAGGTCACTCCCGCAGCAGGGGCCACGCGGTGGGCAGCCTGGAGAGGCAGACACGGCACCATACACCACAGGAGGGGGAGGCGAAATTCAGCCTGCCATTTTCTTCAGAGATGGCTTATTGTGGAAGATTCAGACCAGGACAGATCAAGGGCTGACCACTAACTGTGGCAAACTTGGTCTCAAAGACCACTTCTGGGGACCCTCCTAGGGGGACACCAAGCAGGCTGTCTGTGCTCTCCAGAACACGTTGGGCCAGCTGAATTCAAAGGTGTCTGCACAGCGAGATGGGATGTGAAGCAGGTATTTACCTCACGGCATTAAAAAATATATCCGTATTTGAGAGAGAGAGCATCTTAAGCAGGCTCTGCAGAACACAGAGTCCGGCCTGGGGCTGTCCTACCACCCTGGGATCATGACCTGAGCCAAAATCAAGAGGACACTCAACCAACTGAGCCACCCAGGCACCCCTCGTGGTCACTGTTCGCTCATCTCTGTTTGCTAGGCTATAAGCAAGCAAACGCCAGGCCACGTAGGTAGGAGTTCGTCATAGCTCAGTGCTGCCGCCCCCACCACCTGTTCATTCTCTACTTTTGGTTGTCACCTGGGAACAGGGCAAAATGCCCCAAGACACCTGCAAGTGAAAAATGCTTCACTGAGACTATGTAATGTACTCCTCTCGGGGATACTATGTCACAAGCAAAGAGACCAAAATACTTCTCAGCTAAGTCTGACCTCTTTTCATATAACCTAGACCAAATATATTAGCAGTGACTGCTAACCAGAGATTAAGAACCAATTTGCTGAGTTGAAATCAGAGGTTTTAAAGAACCACCCCCTTCCTTTTAAAAAGCCTAAGGGAAATCTAAAATGATTGACCAACAAGAAACTTTGGCTATGAAACAGGTGTTAAATAGTTTAGAAGGGATGGGGCCATACGTGTCAGAACTCACCTGGTATTCTCCTGAGGGGTCCTATTGTCTCCACTGTTTGGGGAGAGATCAAAGTTGGGTTGAAGAGCCACCCATGGGCTCTCAGCTCCACAGAAACAATGTAGAACTGTGAGGAAAACTGCATTAGATGAGCAGGACCAGGGATTTTAAACTGCAGATCCTGCAATGAACGAACCGATTTAACTTTGAACTTGAGGGGACAAAAGTATGAGTGCATGTTAGGTTCATGGCTCAGCATTTATGCTTAGTTGTGCTCTTGGGCAGGGGCACACCACCAAAGTTACTCCAAGAGACCCCACAGTGATGGTGGCCACCTGAACTCTTCAACTGTGTATGTAATTTCCTGGGACCTAAGTACAGGTCAATATGCCAGGGTTGAAGAGATACAGGGACAAAGTCTAAATAACTAAACACTTCAGAATGCTGGTAATTAGTAAGCTTATCATTGGTGAGCGCCAGAAAAATTTACCGGGTGATCAAACGTGAATGATTAGCACTGCACGCCCCCATGTGCGCCACGCCACTTCTTGATTTCTCGGCAGCACTAGCCGTGATACGCAAGTACTGTCGGTGACTACAGGTGCGTGGGCAGCACCGAACACGGTCTCAAGTCTTCTAGTTCCAAGTTCCAGGTCCCGCTGAACAGGTCTGTGCGCGCAGGCCTCTTCACCTGTAAAATGATGCTAATGATTTTTATTACTACTGCTGTAACTCTTTTGTGTGTTGTTAAGGATCAAGATGGGGGAAATTTTTATAAAATATGAGGCACTAAAAATTTTTTTTTAAATATAGCATGTAAACAGCTCAATCTGTCAGATGACCAACCTGATATGCTCATCTTTTTTGGGGGGCAGATTTGGATTTCTGTACATTAAATTGTACTGGCAGGAAACAAGATGTAACTAACACTCAAGGGAGTAACTGAAGAGTTTAACTGAAGTTCCTGGGCTAGCAACAGTGAGGTGCAGTTAGTAGATCTGAAGAGACAAGTAGAAGCTGCTGGAACGTGCAGAGCTATGTTCTAACAGGGGCTGCGGCCTGGGGTGGAGGGACACAGCCAAGCCACCCACAGCCTAGCAGGAGGGGAGCTGGGGAGCCTGCTGTTGTAGCCCATAGGGGCCAGCTTCTTGAGGCACGCACCTCAAGCAGGCACAAAAAATGAAAGCTCTCTTGCAAAGCCATCGAAGCTGGTCTCCACTCCTCATCTAAGATCTGAGTAGACGTTACTGCACTGGCTCGTTGCCGTAGCGGCCAAGCGTCATGATCTTCTAAACGTTGACAGAGCAACACACTACGCATCGTTCTTTCTGGTTTATTGTTCGGTAGAAAGACAGGCTCTTGAAAACTTTGTATAAACAGCTCACAAACTGCCTCTCCTAGATTACAAAAAATGAAAACCAATTTTCTTTGACATGAGGCCCATGAAGCTGCCATTCAAATCACCATAACGGGAATAGGAACTGTTGTACCTAACATGCTGGGAGGTGCCTCAACAAAGGCATGCTAGGGCCTGTTTAAAACCTCTAGCATCTAGAAAGGTCCATTTTCCCTCCCAATGCCTACGAATGGTAATAAAAGGGGGATCCAAGATCTGCCACTGATGTGGAATGAGTCTGAGAAGGCTTTTTAATGACCACCCCCCGCAATCCAGCCTTCAATCTTTCTCGAGAGACTCAGAGAAAGGACTCCCTGCTTCCCCTTCTCCCCAGCTTTCTCCAGTCCAGGCGCACACCTTTCTGGGACCCAGGCACTGACTACACTAACAGTCTCACCCAATCTCATTACCCTTCTTGAAAGGGCTTTTGGTGAAAGAAAACTTCAGTTACTGCCAATCTTCAGCCCTTAGCAGAGTTTTTGTTTGAAAAGGGCCGGGGCGGAGGAGAGGGGAGTGGAGCACAGGCTATTCTAAGGAATTCAACAGGAAACAAGTACCTTTTATGAAAAGGACTTCTGAGCTCTCTGAGCTCATGACTTAACTGGAATAACTTTACTGAAGTGTCTCCACTTAAAACATAGCACCTCTTCCCAGCAGCCGGATGGATGGGATCTGTGTACACAGAGCACCCATTTAAAATGCCCTCACTGGAAACAGGAATTGTGGCAGAGGCATGGCTGCTCCTCACTCCCGTAAGTCAAGTCCACATCCCTCTGGGTTGCACCCCGTGGAATTAGCTGTAGGAGAAACAGTAAAGGTCCTGCTGGACGGCCATGAGCAACCCTGGGGCTCCCCGGAAGCCCCCGAGCCGAGACGAGAAGGCCACACTGGGGATGTCAGACTTGGAGGTGGGGTGTGGGGAAGGTATGGTTCTCAGCAGGCAGGCATCATGGAAGCTCCAGATTCTTGTGTAGCAGTCCTGGCCCACTAAGAAAGAGGGAAGATACACAGCAGGTTAGTGAGAGGATGCACAGGAGAACGTGTATACATGTGGACATGGCTTCTCGCGATTCCTAAGGCTAAAAAGGACTCCACGGGAGCCAAAGCACAAATGCAAATGGAAACTATTTCTGCCGATAACATGTACTTCTCGAAAATCAAAGTTCCAGGTCTTCCTGTGCTCTAGAAGCACCACCAGTTGCAGGTATTCCAAGTGACCAGATGCGTTGGCTGGCGACACCTTGGATGGTGCCCCAGGCATGTCGGCTAACAGGTGGGCGCTCTGCTTCTCTTGTCAAGGGCTGTTCAAGAGGGTGACTGCAACGGATTTCCTGTTTGTGAAATAGTGACCAGGAAGACCTCTTCACTTTAATGCATCCCGGGGACAAATCAGGTGATGACGCTCCCCAGAGCTTTTTCTAGTTTAAAGAAATTTTTTTTTCTTTATTAAAAAAAAAATTTTTTTTTTCAACGTTTATTTATTTTTGGGACAGAGAGAGACAGAGCATGAACAGGGGAGGGGCAGAGAGAGGGAGACATAGAATCGGAAACAGGCTCCAGGCTCTGAGCCATCAGCCCAGAGCCTGACGCGGGGCTCGAACTCACAGACCGCGAGATCGTGACCTGGCTGAAGCCGGACGCTTAACCGACTGCGCCACCCAGGCGCCCCTAAAGAAATTTTTTTAAACATTCAAAAAAAAAAAAAAAAAATCTTTTTTTAAAGTTTATTTTCAGAGGGCGTGAGTAGGGGAGGGGTGGAGAGAGAGGGGCAGAGAATCACAAGCGGGCTCCTTGCCGGCAGCGTGGATGTGGGGCTCAAGCTCTTAAAACTGTGAGCTCGTGACCTGAGCCAAAACCAAGAGTCGGAGGCTCAACTGACTGAGCCACCCAGGTGCCCTGTGCTTTTTCTGGTTTGATGGCTCAGTGTGTCAGACCACGTAAGTCTTTAGGGCCCAGAGCTGTGAGGGATGTGGCACCTAACAACCACTGGCTGCGGCAGGCCAGACGCAGTCTACACTACTGGAGAGCTTCCGAGGAAAGGAGGGCAGACCTTAGGGTTTCCCGGATTTCACATCTGTGCCTGTGGTCAGCCGAGACCGTGCACTCCCTCGGCTGTGGATGGATTCAGGCCGCGCAGTTCACCGATTACTGCAGCTAGCCCACATACCTAGGTCTGCCTCTCAACGGGGCTTCTCTCTTTTATATTATCCAGAACACAGAAGTTCTTCTTAGATGAAAACTTATGGAAACTAGGCCTAAGCAGGAAGCTAACTGCTGCTGGCGGTGAGAGTAGTAAATCAGCCTGAGAAAGTCCTAACCAAGTGACACTTCTTGGGCGTGGGGAACAAGTACATTCTGTAGGCATATTTGCAAATGTGAGGACTTGTCAAGACCAAGAACGTATTCCTTCTGTCAAGGGCCTACTATTTAATTTGTCAAACCACTGAGCTTTCATGCTATCAGAACATTTTGTAGCCCAGAAACTCAAAACCTGTGATCAACCTGTAGCTCCTTTCAAAGCAGCAGCTAGACATTTCAGCTCCTGTTCTGCAGATCATGGATCCCCATGGACTGTGTTAAGGGGACCAGGAACCAGTGCTGTTACAATGACCTTAATTTCTTTTCTCAGCATCCTCTGCTAGAAAGTGAGCTCAAAGAACAGGGAGCCCAAGCTTTTCAACAGGATGGGCTAAGGGTCCCACTGAATGCTGACCAGGTGGACACCCAGGTCTCCCAAGCTGCTATATTTTATTGCACCTAACCTGCCTGTTACTGAGGTGATGTTGTCCCACTAACATGGGGACAAAGGGCTGATCAACTGGTTGATGTTTAACTGCTGCTTACTCATGTCCTACTCTACGTCCCATCTGGTCCCCCTGACCTCAGGAGTCCACAGTCCCAAGTATTCAGTTCAGATTTGGAGTAATTTCCCCCTCTGCCATTTTATTTGACAGGACAGAATATCTCCCCCTCCCTAGGTACCTGCTACCACGATGCCTTCTTCCTCATGCACGTGCAGGGGCAGGTAGGCGTACTCGTTCACATGACCTTCGTATTGCCTTATACACTTAGTGGTTCTCAGGTCCCACAGCTTGATCTGTGGAAAGCACAAGGGGCCATCAGAAAGAGTCTGGCAGGCACACTAGCGAACGTAGGCGCGGAAGCCAGGGAGGACAAGGTGGTGTCCAAACACCTCTCCAGGTTAGGAAAATCTTAAGTTTCAAAAGCATCAAAACCAGTTTTGTGTCTGTCTAGATCGGGCTGGGCTCCCACCTCTGCACAGCCCACAACTGCCTTTCCCTTGCTACTGTCTTGCATGAGGGTCTCTTCTGAAGAGCCCTTCATCTGGCAGAACTCTGGGCCAGTGGCTGCAGTGACCTGAAAGAGTCAGTGCTACCCTACCGTTCCCGCCATGTCAGATGCCATCAGGTTTTGCTCTTCTTGGAGGATCTGCACAGAGGTCACTGCTGAGTCGTGGAACAGGCGGGTGGCCTTCCAGCCCTTGCCCTGATTTCGACAACGCAGATCAATGGCAAAGATCTCCCCAGAACGACAGCCATTAAACAGCAAAGGAGCCTATGGAAAAAGGCACTGGTTGGTACCTCCTCCTCTAAGGCTGGGAGGGGTGTGCCTTCCAGAACAGAAGGCCTGTCTCGCACCCCTCTCCCAGCCCCTGGATGGCTTGGTGGGGATTTGAGCCTCAGTGTAGCCGGAAGATTTGAGCCTCAGTGTACCCTTAGGAAAGGGTAAGAGAACTGGACCCCAAGTGTCTTCCAGTGTCCTCCCCACTGGCTGCACTGGACCCTTAGGCCTCATTCTGTGAAGCCCATGTGATGGCGCCTTATCTCCACACCAAGGAAGGTCCTTTGTGAGAAGCGAGGGTGGGAGTATGGAGTAGGAGAGATGAGACATCCAGGGAAGCCATGGAGTCCCAAACAGAGGGCAGAAGGCTGCAGAAACATGAAACATGCAGAAACACTTCTGTGCTTCCAGAAGACGGCAGGTTGGCAGTCTGCACACTCCTGCAGGCTTTTAAACAAAGATGGCATTTTTTAATGGGGGAAGTCTCTGAAAAGTAGGAATGACTAGAATTTTGTTAAAATTTAAAATATGTAAATTGAAAGCTAGGTATGAGGCTATTTAGTGTTATGAATTGAGACTTTATTTATATGTCAAAAAAATTACTTGTCCTGATGGCTAATCCCAGTACTTACGAAGTACTAACAATTCATTTAAATAGGAAGTTGTTTAAAGCCAGTTTAGGCAGCTTCCTGCCGTTGGTCCTGTCCCTGTGCTTTAATAAAATCACCTTTTTGCACTTAAAAAAAAACCCAAAACCCAAACAAAACCAAAACCAAAAGCCAGTTTAGCCAGGCCTTTCTGAATCAGCCAACTTTCCTCCAGTGCACATACAATCACCAAGTAAACCATTAATCCTCTCTGATGTCCTTTTTTCCCCTGAGAGGGACAACCAGATACCACACAGGAATCCATTTTCAGTCCAGCAAAATTTCCAATCTTGGGAAACTTTATACTGCCCCCTTCCCAATCCAACCAACCATGAGAGCAAACTGCTGGGCCAAGACATCACTGCTGGTCCCAAATGACTGCCGGTGTCCTGTCACCACGTTGGTCACTAGGACTCGCCGAGACAAGCCTGACAGAAATAGGGATGGGACAGAGAGACAAGGATCACTCACAGCCTGGACAGGGAGTTTGAAGTCTGAAATTCTTTACGCTGGGAACCTGCGGAGTCAGTCATGGCTCACCTGTACTGAAGCAGTTATTTGCCTGGATGTTCAGGGACCATGCACAGGACCAGGCCCCAGGGATCCGGAAACTGCAGAGCATGCCGGGCCGTTCTCCTGTTGATGGGAACAGTGACTATAAAGGGTCGCTGCCCTGGAGGGACGAAGATCTCCTCTCTATGCTGCCAGGCCAGTGACCACTAGTTCTGGGAAACCTCCAGGAATGACTGGTCAGAAGGATCTATATCTTGGCCCCATTCTGGGTTTTGTGGTAGCAAAAAAGAGACACTCCACTGGGGTACCTGGCTCAAAAGTGGTCATTCTGATAATGAGCACATCTTTCCCGACTTCCCAGTAGTAGCATTAGAACTACTAACTGCCGTCAGAGAAGCAGTGTGGTGTTTTTACAAGAGGGTTTCAATCCCACATCACACTATTAGATGTGTGATCTCAAGGAAAACATTTTTAAAATAAGCTTTTAAAGTGATAACAAAATTGATAACAAATTCCAAGTATATAGTTTAATGAGTTAGCACAAGGTAAGTATAGCTATACCATCATCTAGGTTAAAAAGCAAAATATTCCAGTACCTTGATAACCCTCCCAATTACCATCTCCCTACTCTTCCTTAAAGAGAATCACTCTCCTGACTTATGACACCATAGTTTTGTAAGGCAAATTCTGAACCTCTCTTTGCCTCACTTTCCTCATCTATAAAACGGGATGACACATGCTCCTGCCACGTAAGCTTGCTGTACGATGAAACGGCAGGCAGCGGGCTAAGTGTGCCTCATACCCTCCACGTAACCTGCTGCGGTAGGTGTTCTCTTCACGGAGTTAAGCCATCTGTTCAAGTTGGTAAGGGGCAGAGCCGGGACCCACGCCAGGTCTACCCGAAGCCCTGCACTCTTAGAGGTCTGACCCTCGTCTAACTGATCCTAATTCTCTGAAAGACTGAAAACTTAATATCCAGAATGCTGCCAGGAAGGAGAAGTCCAACTGCCTTCAGGCACACAGAATGCAAACATCCCCAGCAGCACCTGCCATGCTTTTCTGCATGGTCTGTGCAGGAAGTCCAAATAAATACTCCGATCTCTTGCACTCATTACATACTCTTCCTAACTGTTCTGGCTGAGGTGACCCCAACGAACGGGTCAATGGAGGGGTGTGTAAAGATGCACCTGCTTCTAGTACCAATCCTGGGTCCAGTTTACAGAATCCTACTGTGCTTCTGTAGGCTGTCCCCACCCACTCTGCGGTCCCCACACCTCCTGCCCCAACCTTCACCACGGAGTCTACACCGTTCTTGTGACTGCAGCTCATAGGAGGCAGGGACCAAGACCTCCTTCAGAGCACCTCCTTATCCAAAGGAAAAGGCCCCGGTACCTGGGTGACTACTGACAAACAGCGATGCTGGGAGCAGGGTGGCACAGCCTGGAGTCTCTGCGATTCCCATGAGGCACAGCCTAGAAAGCTGTTAAGGGCAGTCAAGTACAAGGCTCTCCTCTGGGAAGAGAATGGGCATTAGTACCCTTTAAGAAACTGTAACGCCGTGAGCCAGATTTAACACGCTTACATTTTCTAGATTTAGTTTCAGATTTTTTTTTCTTTAAATTTTTTTTTAAAGTTTGTTTACTTGAGAGAGAGAGAGAGAGAGAGAAAAAGAGCAGGAAGAGAGAGGGAGACACAGAATCCGAAGCAGGTTCCAGGCCTGAGCTGTCAGCAGAGCCTGACACAGGGCTTGAACTCATAAACTGTGAGATTGTGACCTGAGCCGAAGTGGGACACCTAACCAACTGAGCCACCCAGGCACCCCAGTTTCCGATGTTTTAAAAGGAAAAATATGTCACAGTTAAAAGACTCTCTGACCCCTCCCCAGTCCAATGCTTCCCCTACCCAGAATCACATTCTAAAATTGGTCTGAGGTCTGGGCCATGCTCTATTTCCTTAGAGTATCTTCTACAACTTTTCCATCTTGCTGTCTTCTAGATTCACCTGTATTAAAGCTTGTAGCTCCTGTTCCTTCACTTTCACTGTGGATGAATATACAATTCATCTGCTGATGGGTACTTAACTTGTTCTGTGTTTTTTTTTTTTCCTCTGCTGCTGGAATGAGCATCCCCTCCAGTGTTCCTGTGTCCTGCTCCATATGTGGGAGGCTGCTTTAAAGCAGTGTTTTCTTGAACCCACTCTAGGAGTTTGATTTTACGCTACCACGCACTGCATTCACGCAAATAACTGAAACAGAAGTTTTAGAAAATATTTACTCTCACTAAATATGGAACCGATTATTTTCTAGTCTGTTTCATTAAAAAAAAAAAAAAAGTGCTGCTCACGAACGGCAGAGGTCACGACTTGCAGTTTGCAAACAGGTTCTAGCGTCTAAACCCAGTGCGGAACTGTGGGGTCACAAGGGGTTGCAACTTAAAGGGTCTTATCAATTCACTTACACCAGCAGTTTCCCCCATCTGCCGAACTGGGCACTATCAGACTTTTAAAACTTTTGCTCATCTGAACGGGTATAAAGTGACATCTCATTTTAACTTGAGTTTCCTGGGCTACAACTGGATGTGCTGATCCATCAGATCACAGCCATTTGGGTTTCCTTTCCTTTGAACTGCCTCCGCATGTCTACCGGGCCATCTGTCTTCCGACTGCTCTGGCTCCTCTCCCTTCACAGGCAGAATTCTCTCAACAGGAGTCTGTGTTTCTCTACCTCCTTGCCCTCCTGTCACTCTTCAGCTCACTGAAACCCAGGTCTGACACTCCTCTTCCAATCAGGTGTTCTCCCCAAGGTCTCCAGCGAACTGTTTCTCACTCCCATCAACACTTTCCAGTCTTGCCTGTGGCCACACGACACTTTCCAACCACACGCTCCTTTGTGGCCTCCACAACCGCCCTCTCGGAGTTCCCTCCTCAGACCTTCTCTTCCACCTCCATTCCCTGGCCTAGATCCTAAGCCTCTTGGACGCATGCCTCTCCTCCACTCCTGCTCATCCATCCCACCCTCTCCCCTGCCCTCGGTCTTGCAGCAGCTCTCTGCCTGAGGTCTCACCATTGCCAGTCTCTTGCCCACACTACTTTGTAAGAAATACCTCCATGGCCACAATCTTCTAGAACATTCCAGCAGCCAGGGCCCCACCTTGCCAGAGACTTCAGACATCAGACCACTTACTGCTATGCAATGTGCAAGCTCCCTTCTGCTTCTTCCTTCTGCTGTGAGCTCTGTCCCCTCCTTTCTGTATGGGATCACCTCCAGGAAGGCCACCCTAATCCCTTTCTCCCGCTTGCATCCAATTGCCCCACGGACTCACTATACAGACTGAGCACCTGCTGCGCTGCCATTTCTAGCACCTTGCACAGGGATTGCATATAAACTCAACAGATTTTGGAGGAATGAACACATACCTCAGTGAAAAATGTAAATACCTGCAAAGCAATCAAGCAACATTACTGATCGTCTGAATGTGTGATGTGTACACATCACACTGCCTTGGGTGGTAAGCCTCATGTTAAATACAGCAGTATGGAGAGTGCTGAAGCCATAAATAATAACATTGGAGCTGGGCAGCCCAGGGTTCTTTAGCCCTTCCTAAAGAAACCTCTTTTCCTTCTGGGTTTGGAGGGTGAGGATGCGGGGAGGGAGTCCCTACCCAGATGCACTTTCAGTTACTAGGACTAAGACCCAGGTTACCCTTAAACCCTATAGGATACTAACGGGGTCAGTATTAGATTTAACCCTTTAATAGGCCACAGGTTATTGAAAAGCCCAGTTAAGTACAACTTCGATCGAACCTCCCACCGTTCTTTGGGGGGAAAATGCAGAGGACAGGTCTAAATGAGTTCCAGGACCCTCAGCAGAAGCAGCGGGTGCACAGAAGCCTGAAGACTACCTGAAATGATCACCAGAGGGCAAGTAGCTGATGAAACTACCACAGACCGTATCTTTAAAACCAATTATATGGATTTTTATCCTCTCCTTAGCCTAAGGAGAGAAACATGGGAAAATGTTATCCTGTTTTAAGATCAGAAATGAGAGCAAGGTTGTTTTCTCTCCTTTAAGACTTGGTCTCTTCTGTCCTCTTGTAACATCACAGTAACAGGTGGCCTTATCCTTCCACAGAATCGCACCAAATGAAAGCCACATAGAATTTTCAATTTACAGAACACACACAATTTTGCGTCTTATATAAAATGTATAACCTGAATCTGTGTTTTTATTTTTATTTTTTTTTATTTTTTTATTTTTTTATTTTTTTCAACGTTTATTCACTTTTGGGACAGAGAGAGACAGAGCATGAACAGGGGAGGGGCAGAGAGAGAGAGGGAGACACAGAATCGGAAACAGGCTCCAGGCTCTGAGCCATCAGCCCAGAGCCCGACGCGGGGCTCGAACTCACGGACGGCGAGATCGTGACCTGGCTGAAGTCGGACGCTTAACCGACTGCGCCACCCAGGCGCCCCTGAATCTGTGTTTTTAAAATAGAGTGTTTTAAAATAAAATAAAATGTTTTAAAAACAGAGTGCCGTGGGGGTGCCTAGGTGGCTCGGTCAGTTAAGCATCTCACTCTTGATTTCAGCTCAGGTCATGATCTCACGGTTTGTGAGTTTGAGCCCTGCGTGTGGCTCTGCACTAACAGCACAGAGCCTACTTGGGATTCTCTTTCTCTCTGTCCCTTCCCCACTCACACTCTCTCTCTCTCAAAATAAATAAAAATAAAAAAAGAGAGACAGAGTGCCATAGAACAAATTAAAAAACCCCAACAGGTTCCAATTTTTTGAAACCATTATTTGTTGAGGACCCATGATGTGACAAGCACTGTGCTAAGTGCATTCATAGACATTAACTAATATTAGCCTCGTGACAACTCATGAAATAGGTGTTAGGTACAATGAGTGGTCACATAGTTTCAAGAACTCATTTATTATGGAAATGAACCAAGGACAAGACATATGAATGTGTGGCTCTGGCTCAAACAATATTACTCTCAGAAGCACGAGACAGACAGGTGTCTTGTGCATCAAGAGCCCTCAGGGACTCCAGGGGAAGGGTCTAGCTAGCCTGAAACTACGCTCCAGTGCTCCTAGTAGAAGAACCCTGATCGCTCTCTGAGAGGGAAGAGGCTACAAGAAGAGGGCTCTAAAGAAGGCCGTGTCTGGCAGGGACCCCAGGCACAGAGCCCACACACTCATGTCCAATGCCAAAGGAATCCCTTTTACTGATGTACGCCCTCAGCCTTCCCCCCGCAAGGGGTCCAGACCACCCTCAAACCACTGCAGCTCTGAGTTCCTCCTCCTTCACCTCAGGAGGATGTGGGGTTTCTGCCTAAGGCTTTACTATTCTTTTACAGATCTTTTTTTCTTTTTAATGTTTATTTATTTTTGAAGGAGAGAGAGACAGAGTGTGAAGAGGGGAGGGGCAGAGAGAGAGGGAGACACAGAATCTGAAGCAGGCTCCAGGTTCCAAGCTGTCAGCACAGAGCCTGATGTGGGGCTCGAACTCACGAACCACGAGATCATGACCTGAGCCGAAGTCAGACGCTCAACTGACTGAGCCACTCAGGCGCCCCAGTTCTTTTACAGATCTTAACAGTGATGGCACATAGTGACATCAATGTCACCCTGGGACCTCGACTACTTCTCTGTGCTCCATGGGAATCTTTGTTCTCTACCTAGCTGCAATGCTCCTTCCTAAAGGGTGAGATGTGCACACAAAATGGTACAGACCTCTGGCCCCTAGGACCACCTCACAAACCCCACAGACACTCAGCTCCTCATCAGGGCCTGGCCTGCCCACCAAACCTCTTCGTCTGCCAAAAGATACAGAATGTGGGAATCCAAGTGATTCAGCGAGGCCCAGCACACAGAGTTCACCTGGTGAGGAAACACACAGCAAGACAGAAAGACTGGTTTGACTGCCAACTCATGGAGAGAAATAGACAATGCCTGCCTATGGAATAACTAGTAGGGATACAGACATGGGGCTTCTTTCTTCAGGTCTCACTCCTTTTAAAGACACTGGAACAAGCGTCAGAACAGGGAAGTTCCCTGCTCCACCATGTAGCGCCTTGAGAGGAACAGGGAGGAAGTAACCCCCAGGCTTTGGTCCTTTGTTGTCAGCATGGACCTCACAGTGAGACATCTAGTAACTTTCTGGTTTGGGGACGGGTTCTCGGCAACAGAAGGGGACAAAACCCAACTCTGAAAGGCATACTGTATTTCGTTTCATTCAGAAACCATTTTCAACCTGTATCCATCTTGTGGCTCGTGTCCCAAATGAATAGAATGTCACACAGCTCTTTACACATGCAGCCATTACCCAAGTGCAATTTAAAGGTTGCTCCCTAGACGGCAAGCTGTGCTGTATTATATTTATGTAACCTCATCTTTATGTATATTCTATTTATGTAACCTCTTTTTATTTATGTAACTTCTGGGTAGGCCACAGACTGGCTGAGTGACTGATGCACTGGAGGACTATCCACAAAGATAACAACAGCCCACTGCCCAGGAACTTGGTGCCTGGCACAGGCTCCTTCAGGTCACCTCGATCCTCTGGAGGGAAGGTCTGTATAAGCAGTTAAAGAAGCCTCTCAAGCCTAAAGAGGTTTCATGCCTTCTCCCAACTATTGACAGTTATTTCTCTTCTAAGAGAAGAAACTCCTGAGGCCCTTTTCTTCCCTTATAGGTTATCAAGATCTAAAACTCCATTTTCTCTTGGTAAAATGAGGTACCCAAGGTTCTCTCCTCTACTCTAAATTGGGCCAAGTACTGCAGGCCCCCTGCATCCAAGGCAAAGGGGGTCGCGAGGCTAATGGGAAAGGCAACATACCTTCCGGTTGGTGAAGTAGAGGTTTTCGTGCATATGCACCTTGAGCGAGGGGGTCTTCAGACCACGCAGGCTGATGATGCCATACTTGGAGCCTCCGACTTTGACATCATTCACCGTGAAGAGCCGGTCACTGTTGGTATCGGCCTGGAGGGGAAAGGAGACCATAGGTGACCTCCCAGGCTGAGCCAGGTGAGCTGCCTAAGACCACCTGCCATCTGTCTTAGATCCCATGCTCTGAGCATTTTCACTTGGTGAGTGCTCCCACCCACGAGGGAGCATGGAGGTAACCTGACTTGCACCTACTCAGTCCAGCTGTCACTGGGCAAAGCTAACAGGCATCTGATCTCGCAGTCCAGGAGTGGGGGTGAAGGCGATGAGGGGGAACTGTCAAGAGGCATGAGGTCGGCACAGTGACTCCACTCAGAACTGGTTTGGCAGAGTCCCTACATCCATCCGGAAGAGCCACATGGTGACACGCAGCCATCATGAAAGCCATACAACGATGTGGAAAATGCTAGTTATAACTGTGAAGGGGTAAAAGGAGGAAACAAAACTGGATTCCCATTACATGGGCACTTTTCCCCTCAATGAGATACAAAAAACAAAAAACAAAAACCCACTGCATTGTAGGAAAAAATTACAATAGAAAATACTACGGGGTGCCCAGGTGGCTCGGTCAGTTAAGTGTACAACTTTGGCTCAGGTCATGATCCCACAGTTCTGAGCTTGAGCCCCACGTTGGGCTCTGTGCTGACAGCTTGGGGCCTGGAGCCTGCTTTGGATTCTGTGTCTCTCTCTCTGCTCCTCCCCGCCTTGCACTCCGTTGCTCTCTCAAAAACAAATAAATGTTAAAAAAAATTAAAGGGGCCAGGCCTGGGTGGCTCAGTTGGTTAAGTGTCCAACTTTAGCTCAGTTCATGATCTCACAGTTTGTGGGTTTGAGCCCCGCATCGGGCTCTGTACCAACAACTCAGAGCCTAGAGATTGCTTCAGATTCTGTGTCTCCCTCTCTCTTTGCCACTCCCCTGCTTGTACTCTCTCTCTCTCAAAAATAAGTAAACATTAAAAAAAATTTTTTAGGAGCACCTGGGTGGCTCAGTCGGTTAAGCGTCTGACTTTGGCTCAGGTCATGATCTCGCGGTTTGTGAGTTTGAGCCCTGCGTTGGGCTCTGGGCTGACAGCTCAGAGCCTGGAGCCTGCTTCTGATTCTGTGTCTCCCTCTCTCTCTGCCCCTCCCCCTGCTTACGCTCTGTCTCCCTCTCTATCAAAAATAAACATTAAATTAAAAAAATTTTTTAATGTAGTTAATAATTATTTCAAAGCAAAACCCTACATATTTAAGTGTTTTATGTATACTTATAAATACAACATACACACATACATGGGTTTGGATGTTGGTGAAACTGTATTCACTTTGCAAATTTACTTGGAAAGCACAGTTTCCTGAAGAATCATGACAGAGACTGGAATCAGATCTGAAAAGCTAATCTCTGGGTGGCAAAGCTCCCTTCCCAGTACTCTGGTCACACAGCCAGCCAGTCACGTCTAACCCTGGGTGACTGGGAAGATCTGGGCACTAGTGCCAGCCTTGTGTGAGATGAAGTAGGAGGACCAGGGGCTCAGGCCATACTCAACAGCACAGGCATCACCACCCAATTTTATGGAAGAACCCCAGGGAAGGAGCTCCTGAGGGGAAAGTACTGCAAGAAAGTTTTCCAGCGATTCAGGTCAAACTGTGCCCCCAAACACACGGGAGAGTAAAGCCAGGAGAGAACACACGTCCTGGAATACCCCTTGCAGAAGGGCTCTCCTGTTGAGGTCTCCTGGGGCAAGACCTCAAGGGTGAGCACTGTCGCTTCAGATTCCAGTCCTTTCAGCAGACCACCAGGCTGAGGTTTTTCATTTTGTGTCCTTCTCGAATTCTCAGCTTTCTCCTGGCCTCCAGGAAGGACAGGGCTTACAGGACAGGCCATGATCTCCTGTGGTCTCAAGCTTCTGGTCTAACTCAGTGGTGTATCGCCTTCTGTTTGCAGTGGACTCTCGGTCCTCTGCCAACATTTCCCTGAACCCTAGGTTCCAGCAATCTCTGGCCTTAACCTTGGCTTCCAGCCCAGGTCTAACCTAAAGCAGAGAAGATGCTCTGCTCCCTGTAAAGGACATGACAGAGCTGTGCTGGACATGCAGGCCCAGGAGCACAGACCCTATAGGACCCTGCCACTGAGGTCAGAGCCAGCAAGCAAGGGAATAACACATAGTCGCTACTAAAGGATACTGGTGCTTCAGGTCTGACCACCAGATTATGCCCAGTATAGAAAGGGTTAGAAGCCCCTGGTCCACTGTGTACCTTTTCAATTTGCAGACAACACACCAAAGGGAAAATTACATTGTGACAGTTCTCAATGTGGGGTGGGCTGAGGCTCTCAGATTAGATGACAAGAGCTGTAGTGGGGGTGACGATGGTCGGCACAGCCTGCCCTGCCAGCTCAGCGCCTGCCAGCAGGTAGCCAGTAGGCGCTGGTTAGTACCATAAAACCAAGAGGACACCACTTGCTTTTGTGGCACTGGCTTCCGCACGGCTAGCCCCAATGAAAGCCAATGTTAAGCCATGCAGTGTCCGGGGACAGCAGCTATACCTCTGGCACCCGCAGGGCGCTCCCTCCCACTCACCAGTATGAGGTTAAATCGGTCGCTTGCCAAAGCGGAGGGATCCGAGCTCTGAATCTGGACCTTTTTCCTCTGCATGCAGCTCACTCGCAGCTCATGAGCTAAACTGCAGAGGGAAAGAGGGACGGGGAGGGCATGGATGTCGTAACGAGACACCCGTGAAGCAGACTCAGAGCCTCTGCCCTGGCCCACACCCTGGAGACCGCCTCCCCTAGTCAGCCACTTCTCCTCCGAAGTAATTCTCAGCAATGGAGTTGAGTAGGGTCCTAAATAACCTCAATTGTAGAACTCTTAGGAAAACTAAGGCCAAGAAATGGGTGGCCCATTCATAGGGTCAAAGAGAGATGAACTAGACCAATCTGTCTTTGGATCATCTCGTACAACTCTTTCTTGGATCATCTAGTACAACTCTTTCTTGAGACAAAAAGAATTTGCCTGAAAAATGCAAGAAACAGCAGGCCAAAGAGCACCCAGCTAGCAAGAACCAGGTATGGACCCCCTTCTCTCTCCACATCATGGCCGCAACCCCACTAAGAACAAAGCATGTTTTAGGGTGAACAGAGGTATTTCTACCTAGACCTTTAATTCCTTTCCCTCTCAGGAGGGAAATTCTCAGAGGCATACCCGACCTGACCTGGCGGATACCTCCTGCATGGCTGGCCTTCCCTGAAGGGGGCCTTGTTCCACGGTAAGTGCTATAAGGCACTCAAACTCAAGTTGTTTCTTCATAACATGAGTTCCGTGCACAGAAGGGAGACAGCAGAATGTAGGGGTTAGGAGCTCAGATGTTGGGAGTCAGATAATTCCACCCTTTCTAGCTTTACCTTGAGCCAGTCAATCAACTCTAAGCCTCAGTCTCTTCTGGAAACTGGGGGAAATATCAACCTAGCTCACAGGGTTTTAGTTAGAATTATATCAGACATTACAAGTATATAAAGTTTAGAACACATACATCTGTTTAATGCTCTATTTTGGGTGACAACTTGCTGGAAGAGGAGAAGGGAGCAGATATCGCATGGGAATGAAGCTATAGGGCCTCCTATTACACTAAAAATGATTTCAAGTAACACAGAGGAAACATCTTGAGAAATTTCTGCTCAGTTTCTCTGCCTAGATCCCCTCTCTCTTTGGCTTCCTACATGAGCCACTTCCCTTGCTCTACAGAGAGACTGCTTCACTCAGGACTGGTTTTAGCAGCAGAAGGCAGGCTGTGAGCCGAGCCCCCCTCTCCCAACTGTGAAGACTCCTTACAGAGTGGTTATGTACTCCATCCTGACTGACTTCTTGGACCATGGAAATAAGAAACAGGAAAAGAATATTCATGAAGAAAACTTAACAACGAGGCATTGTCTTACCGGCAATAACTGGTGGCATTGAGAAAACCCAGCTTGTTTTTTTGGAGCAATGAAGATGCATTAAAGCCCATCCTGGCTATTTTCTAAATTAAAAGAGAAGAGAAGAGTAATGAAGTTTTATGTTATGGGATAATAGAGAATGTTTTCAGTTCCACAGGATGTAATGAAAAAGCAAGCGTACTAAGTTGGCAGAAACTATATGCATAAAGTTCTAATGGTCTCCTCTTCTTGGCAAGAGGAAAAGTCCATCACAAGAAAGAACGTGTGAGCTAGGAATTTGGTTTGGTGCCCACGTCCAGACTCCCCATCAATTTATGCCTGGGGAGATGAAGCCACCCCACTAGTGAACACAAGAATGGCACTGGTCACTCAGGTCTGCTTTCTGTTCGACTACTAGTGACCCCGGGGCCCCCATAAACCACTGAAATGTGCTGGGATGTAATCCCCACAAGGGATGCAGGAAATCCTCATATCCAAACCACATCCCTCGGTTTTCTATTTAAAATATACAATTACAGAAACCATTTCATGCCACTTCCCAAGATTCTTCTGAGAAAGGACAAGATGTGAGAATCACTGATGAAACTTTGCCGATAAGAAAAGGGGGGTGGGAGATTTCTTGCCTTCTTACTCACTTCATCAGATTACTATGGTGGAAGGTTGATGTCACATTCCCTCAAGTGCACCATGCTAAGTGTTACAGAGGCATCTGCTCGGCACCTCCTATCAGCAGTGGATGGATGTGGCCATCACGAGTGTGGAGCCCACCTTTTTCTGCTTGTCTTCTTCCTCCAGCAGCTGCAGCCTTTTGCTTTCCATCTCCTTGTGCCGGATGCTCTCCTTTGTGAGGGGGTTGCAATTGTTATGTCCGGGGAGCAAGCGGAAGTAGCGCTTCTTTTCCGGGTCAAAGTAATACCCTGGCAGATCTTTAGTCAAAAAGAAATGAAATCCACTTAAACACTGCACTGACCCACCTATGAAGGAACCCAGTGATCTGTCCACACCACCCCTTACAGATGCCTGTGTTTTCTGAGGGGCGGGAGGTGGGCTAACATTGTCACTCCCCATCCGACGCCCATTTCGGTCCTGCACTGGCGGAGCCGTTTGCCTCAGAATCCCCATTCCTGACACAGGATGTTTAGTCAGTGTTTTAATTTGCTCCAGAATTTCCTCCAAGCCGGGAACGGGCGTCGTTGACACACATGGAGTTCACCCACATGCAAGTGCAGACACACATGGCTAAGAAGGGCAGCCAAAACAGTTAGAACCAGATGATGAGGCAGGGTGAGGTTTCATCTTTTCTACAGGCAGGGACACAGGAGGTCTACCATCCAGCAGACGCCTCACCTGGCGCGGAAGAACTCCCAGCTGTGCCAGATGAGGTCGATGGGGCCTCGTCATCATCGGCACGGCCAGAATCCTGTGGGCTTTGCTGTGCCGCTGTGTTACACCTGTTGACACACAGTCACAGTAACTTGCAGTGAGGAGCTTGAGTCCCATTCTCTGACTGTGGGATCCTGCTGGGGTCGTCAAGGCAGTTCCATGGCCTTCATTTCAACCCTCTGATTCTTCTGATTACCTGGGGAGCTCTGACCTCTCTTTTCCTGGAAAGCAGTGTTACCTACTACAAATATACAGAGGTCAGGGCAAGGTTTTGGTTCCTCATCCTTAACAGGACACGGGTCACAGTAATTCCCTTTCCTTGTCTCCTCATGTGAGCATTTTGTGAGATCTTTTCAAAATTTCCCAATGAAAAGGGGAACAGAAATCTTTGCCAATGAGAATGTTACCAGCTGGGCTCATCTGTCAGCTCAACAGCAGTTACAAGGCCAGGTGCATTTCATTCTTTATTGGATTCAGCAGTACAAAGGGTTTAAATTTTACCTGGCTACACAAGCTTACAGATGGAGAAACCGGGGTTCAGGGCACAGAGGTGATTTGCTCAGTTAATACTGGGATAGAGCCATGGTTTAAACACCTGATTTGCAAAACTACAAGCAGCTTCTGTGGCAATTACAGGCTGAAGGATGTAACGATACAGCAAAACACCTAATTTTAGAATCCTGACAAAATCCACTTTAAAATCAAGAACTTCCTGCCTATCCCTCAAAGGAATACAAACTGAATCACTAGGCTGAAGGAATGAAAGAACTTTCTCTTCTGTCTGTGAATTCTAACTATGCCATTTCAGAGAAAATCATTTACTCTCCCTTTTTATGGCCCGGACCTTTCTGAGGCAGCTCATCTGGCTGCCGCAAGAGAAGGATTAAGCATCAAGAGCAAGAGTGATCAGCAGCAAGAGAAGGATTAAGCATCATGACAAACGTCCACATTTCTAGTCCAAGGAATGCTGTTCCATTCTGTCTATACAGAGCCCAAAAGGTGGCTGCCTGGCGTGTTTCCACAGTACCTGCCAGGAAGAGTAGTGCTCTTTTTGCACAGATCACATTCCGCTGTACATTGGACTCTTGTGCGAAGGCCCGGGGCCCCCAAAATATCCATAGCTCTCCTTACAAAACATACAAACACTGGGCACCGTCCTGATCTTTCCGCAATATGGGTCAAGTCTGGGACTCTGGCTCAGAGTCACCGATTTTATCCGGCACCTAATGAGGCCCACCATATATGAAGGGCCTGCTCAGAGGCAGGAAGCCCATCAGAGACTTTACATAACAGTATTGCAAACCTTGTACTAGCTCTCTTGTACAAGGGTGACTCAGAGTGAAGTAACTTGCCCAAATTCACATAGGAAAAAGCAGAGTGTCAAACCTAGACCTTCTGATTCCAAAGCCCTTGTTCTTTCCACAACACTTTGGTGGTTTTTATTACTGTTTAGGTTAATCTGTTCTAGAGAAGCTTCTTGGTATCTGGCATCTTCTGACCCTGTAGTTAAGACACCCGTCCAGGTTAGAAGGAGGTCTGAAGTACGGCAGAATTTTGAAATTGGCATGCAGGCTTTCTCTGGTGAGGAGGGGGCTGTGGAAAGATTTCTGCATGAAAGAAACACAGTCCAGTCCCAGAACAAGATGCCCACCTACAGCAGGATAAGACACTCCCCACAGCTCAAGGCCAACAGGACTTCTGGCCATAAGAAAAATAAGTTGAGAATGGAACATGTTTTATGCTGGGGACTTTGAGTACAGACTAAGTTTTACTTTCTAAACTAGGTAGCGGGTACATGATGTTCATTGTATTATTCTTTACACCTTTTTGTGTTTATTATATACAATATTATATATTTAGCCTTTCTAAGGACTTAGGCTAAATGAAATTAGGTCTCCGGAAAGCTATTTTCATTGGCTAGAAAAAAAGGGAGAGAGAGAGAGAAAAAAAGGCTGCAAAACAGAAAAACAGCTCTTGAGTTCTATCTGTTAAGGTCTCCTTCTAAGCCTCTGGCTAATACTCTGTACAGAGGTCATGGTCACTCTCAGAAGAAAAGAGTCCGGCCATATCTCCTAACTACTCAATCGGTGGTGGGCAGGCTGACCTGCAGCAGTGGCACTGGGAACGTGGGCCCCGGCTCAGACCCTGCCTTTTGATGAGAACCCTGTGACTCCTGTGCACGGACAGGCTGCACGTGCTGGGATGGCACTGGGCAGCAGCACTTGCCTCTCGTCAGAACCGTGTTGTCTGAACCAAGGGTTCTGCTGGTGGCCCCTTCGCACACGTCTTCTATTCTGCCTGTTGTTTTTATGCATTTCTGCTCCTAAAAGAGAAAAAAAAGAAAGTTTACACACAAATATGTGTGTGTATGCACTTTTCTGTTTGTTTTAAACAAAAATATTTTTTTAATGTTTTATTTATTTTTGAGAAAGAGAGACAAGAGTGAGAGCAGGGGAGGGGCAGAGAGAGGGAGACACAGAATCTGAAACAGGCTTCAGGCTCGGAGCTGTCAGCACAGAGCCCGACGCGGGGCCTGAAGTCACGAACTGTGAGATCATGACATGAGCCACAGTCAGACACTTAAATCAACTGAGCCACCCGGGCGCCCCTGTTTGCCTTTTTTTTTTTTTTTTTAATGTTTAGTTTTAAGAGAGAGAGTGCATGTGAGCAAGGAGGGGAGGTGCAGAGAGGGAGAGAGAATCCCAAGTAGGCTCTGCATCATGACCTGAGCTGATATCAAGAGTTGACACTTAATTGACCACCCAAGGCGCCTTTTTGCTTCTTGATAGTTCCTTCATGCTCAGAGCTAGGCAAAAGGATGGCTCAAAATGGTTTCTCACCAGAGCCAACACACCAAGCCTCGCCTATAAAGGCTGCCTCCTTTATAGGAGATACCGGTAAAATCCCATGCTCCTGAAGCCACTTCTTTGGCTATAGTTCTCCTACCTCACAGTTAACACCTGGCCTGCCAATCTGCCAACCTCTGGTTCCCTGGGTCACTGTGTGAGCTGATGACAGATTCTCACAATTACTTTAGATGGCAGTTGAGGCTGGCATGGAAATTCTTAGGTTATTCTTCTTTCTTTTCTTTACCAGATAACACCAGGGCATATAATTTTTCTTTCAATCCACACACATCCCTATTCATAGAGAACAGTTGACAGTGAACACTTTCTCCTACACAATTCCAGCACTGAGCAGGGAAAACTGTGAAATAACTAAAGGAGAGCGCGTGTGTGGGACTTCTCAACATGCTGTATAAAGGTTTTAACTTCCTGAAGTATGCTAGCTATTAAGGGGACAGGTGTGCACATGCACTTTTAAAAATAAAAATGAAATAAAAACACTTCTTAATGACATGTATTGCCATATTTCAAGTGACTTTTTCAAATCTTATATAGCCTGAAACCAGCACTTGAATCACAAGTTTCAACACTGGGAATCACAGTAAGAGGTCTTAAAAAGATCAAACTGTGGTACATGGACCAGCTGCTCTGAGTTTCATGCTTTTCCAACACCTGGTGACTCCCCCCACCTCCAACCCATGGGAGACAATGATGACATCTTGCCGAATACTTTTTTTTTTTTTTTACTGAATATACTTTAAAACCGTATTCAAATGCCATAACAAAATTAGAAAAACATTTCGAGGGCTGAATGCAGCCAAAGAATAGGCTAGAAATCTATTTGCCTCTATTTTCCAACTTATACTTCTGAGTGGGGAATGCTTATTAGCATCAGAGCACCAAAAGTCTGGACTTCTGGTCTAGTACTTACGCAAACATTTTGCGAATTCTATAACAAAGTCCTCAGTTTGCTTGCTTCAGACAGTCAGTCTGCCTCCCCCACTGGGTCATCCCATAACCCGGATTACTTTCACCAGACGCTCTCCAGTCCTGTGTCAGAATGGAGCACGAGTGAAGCAAAGTCTGTAGCCCTGCGGATGTGGAGTCATCATAAATGTCTTATTTTGTCTTACATGTCTTAAATTGTCATCCTCTGCTGGGACAGTATGAATTAACCTAGTTGGAGTCACTCTCGACAACGCAGGGTGTTGCCACTGTCCTCACACTCTTCCCACTTTCTTCCGGCCCCTACTTGCTAGCATAGGTCCCTGCCTCACAGAGAAGAGAGATGTGGCCAGGAACGAACACCCCAACTTCTCTCCCTTCCTTCCACAAACATCTGCCTTTCATACTTCTAACGGTTTTTTCTCTGGTCTTGGAGAAACAGGCGTCCCTGGGCCTCTTCCTGGCAAACCCACGCCACCTGGCTGATGCTCACATTCCTCAGACTCTGCAGCCACCCGTTCCCACGCATGTTCCATCAATTTCCCGTCCTTCTCTCGGCTTACGAACACGGCCAGGTTTTTCATTTGTATGCGCTCCCTCTCCGACCCAAAAGGAAGAGGAGTATTCTGAGCACGTGGTCTATGTGCACACATCCCACCTGTTGGTTTCCCAGTCATTCCTCAGCCCACTACAGTCAGGCCGCCTCCCTCACCTTTCTGCCGAAACGCTCCCGTGAGGTCCTACTTGCCAAAGCCAGTGGTCTCTTTTTAGTCCATTCCTACCACATGTGATGCCATAAAGCTTCACTCTTTCTTTGGCTTCTGGAATATCTTTCTCTTCGTTTTCCTCTTGTCAAATTCAGCCTTTTCTGGTTTCCCCATAAGTGCGTTTTCTACTGTTCTGTCCTAGATCCTCTTCTTTTCATACTTCTACCATCTCACCTGCCAACACAGATTCATCTCCAAGCCCTAACATCCCTCCTGAGCATCCACTTCTTCCACCACCACCTCTCCCTAGCTCCCCCTCTGCTTTTACCTATCCCTTTTTCCCTTCTCTGTAAATAATACCACTACCGCCGCCTTCACCTCTGTTCAACAGTGTAACAACTTTATTCATCTTCCTAAGCAACCCATTTTCATGGCTCCTGGACACTACACATATGGGTCTCCCTAAGGATCAATTTTCCTAATCTTCACTTAAGAATAAAGTTGTATTTACTAACTAGTTAAGTTACAAGCTAAGAGGCACTGTGCAGACAAAGGGAAATCGGTAGGACTAGTGTTAAGAAAATTGATGAGAAGAGGGGCGCCTGGGTGGTTCAGTTGGTTAAGCATTCAACTTTGGCTCAGGTCATGATCTCGCTCGCGGTTCATGAGTTTGAGTCCCAAGTTGGGCTCTTGCTGACAGCTCAGAGTCTGGAGCTGCTTCAGATTCTGTCTCCCTCTCTCTGCCCTTCCCCTGCTCACACTCTCTCTCCTTTCTCTCTCAAAAATAAACATTAAAAAAAAAAAAAGAGAAGAAAAAGATGCCATACTGACATAAAAGGATAAAAATTTCTGTAGACTGCACATTCTATACATATGACCCCAGTTTGCTTTAATTATGAAATAATGCATGATTCCAGTGAAGAACACAGTAATGGTTAAGTCAAAGGCTTCAGATCAGGAGGTAGGAGCATGGCCTACCTGCAACCTTATTCTCAAAAGAAGGGCACAAAATGACGAGGACACGGTAAATAATAACTAGTGCTGATTTTGGAATATTTCTACACCATCACCTCACACAAACATAGGTTCAGGTTCCGCAACAGAATGAGAGGCTGACAACATCAACCAATCTGATAAGCAACATCAAGCCAAAGTCATTTTATTTTTTTCAAGTTCATTTATTTATTTTGGGTGGGGGGGGGAGGGAGGGAAGGGCAGAGAGAGAGAGAGAAAGAGTGAGAATCCCAAGCAGGCTCCACACTGTCAGCATGGCGCCCAACGCTGGGCTCGATCTCACAAACTGTGAGATGATGACCTGAGCTGAAATCAAGAGTTGGATGCTTAACTGACTGAGCCACCCAGGGGCCCCAAGCCAAAGTCATTTTAAAAAGTCACAACAAATAGAAGTAGACTAAACACAGAAAGGATTAGAGTATGGTGAAAAGGGATCTTTTTGTACTTTTAAGAAGCCTATTTCAGGGGTGGGGAGAGTCTTCCCGAATACAGATCTAGTTCACTCTCAGCATCCACTTTATGCATTACACTTGTCCTTATCACTCTGTACCAAACTTTGTACTCCCATCTCATGTTAAATGTGATGTGAATTTTCTAAGCAAAGATCCTGCCTTGTTCCTTCCTGTTCCTAGCACCCATGACCTAGTTGGTTCTCAGTAAATGTTCACTGAACTAAACAAACACCAAAACAACCCTGCAGTTACTTTAAAATCCCAGGTAGCCCCTTTCTGCTCTAGGCACTTTCATTTGCTGTTCAACACAGATTTACAGAGAACCCACTGAGCCCTGGGGAGCAGGCAGAGAGAAATAAACTGTGGTTTCCATTCTCAAGACACTAGTTGATCACTAGGGACGTAGATGCATGAACCGGTTCCCGTAGTGCCTCATAAGTGAAGACTCAGGTCTCTCCAGGTGTAGCAAAAAAGAAGAGAGTCATTGCTCTGAGTGGAAGGGCTAGAGGGGAGAGACAGTCTGAGTTGTGGTTGGAGTGTCAGGCAAGGGGGTGAGGGGCCTGCAGCAAGCAGTTTGCTATGGCCAGAGCCTAAAGTACAAGTGGTTGAGGGATGAGGCTGGAAAGGCAGGCAGGGCCAGCCCATGAGGCCTCTGCTATGATTAGACATCCATGTTGGAAAGGGCACTATACAGGCAGCACAGAGAATAAGCTGGAAGTTAAGGACTGCTGCAGCAAACCAGATGAGATGAACTCACCGGCTATGGAAGTGACACTTGGAACAGAGGATCTTGAATTTAGACAGACTCAGGTGAATTTCATGTGACAGGTGGAGACAGAGGAGTGAGGAACCAGTAAGTGACTAACTGGTAGGATCCTGACCTGGGAGACCAAGAATAAAGGAAGAAGAGCAGTTTGCGGGAGAGAAGACAATGAGACTCGTTTTGTACACACCAAATTCAAGATGCCTGCAGAACAGAGGCAGGCAGCTGTAAAAAGCGTCTGGGAATCCAGAGAGGAAACAAGGCTAAAGATACAGATTTGAGAGTCATCAACATGTGAGGACACAGACTGAGACAAAGGTAGATCCAAAGCAAAATATACAGTGAAGATCTGAATTCAAAATTAGAGATAATTTTATTGGATAGTAATAGAAAATTCACATTTATCAGTTTTTAGATCAGTGTTTCTTAACGGAGGACAATTTTATTCACCAGGGGACTTTTGGCAATGTCTGGAGACAGTTTTGTTTGTCACAACTTGGGGGAAGGGGCAGTGATGGAGGTGGATGACATTGCCAGTTAGTGAGAAGAAGTCAGAGATGCTGTTAACCATCTTACAATACACAGGAT